CCCCAAAACCCCAAAACCCCAAAACCCCAAAACCCCAAAACCCCTAGAGGGATTTTTTGTGTTGAAAGGGAAAGGATGAGGGGGGGTTTTAGGGGGATTTAGTGGCTGAGAAGGATTTTGAGGTTTGGGGGAAGGAGGGCAGGGGTGAGGAGAAGGGGGAAAGGATTTTGGGATTTTATGTGATGGAGATTTTTCGGAAAGGTGTGAGGTGAATGTTGTTTTAGTATAGAATTTGGAAAATTGTGTTGGGCATAATGTTTATAATGTTTAAAATGGATGATAATATTTATCTTAGAAAATCTAATTTTATCAGGAAAAATATCGAGTGAGTTTTAATTTTTGTATTATTTTCTCCAGCTAGCTATAAAATATTTCTATTTGACTTATAGGAATAATTGGACCTTTCTATGAGAATAACTTGTAATTAATGACTTATTCTCGAGTTTCTGAGATATAAAAAATTATTAAATCTATTCAGGGTGGACAGGAAATTTTGCAACTCTTTTTATTAATTTTTCCCAAGATTATTCAACACCAACTTTTCTTTAATTTTATCATAAGTTTGGTTTATCAAAATAATATTTATCGACTTAGTTCTTAAAGGGATCTTACTAATCCATCACCACTGAATATCTGCATTATATCCTGAACCTATTCTCTTGCTTAAATTTCAAGCCTCATGATCGAACATTTTATCTTTTCATAACAAACATCTTGTTTAGGCGTAATATACACATCTACATCTGCTATACTTTTCTTTTCCTCTCTATTTTCCTCATAAAAATGATATTTATCCGTATCATCTCTCCTATAATTCGTGTCTTTCCCTTCCGACAGCACTCTAAACCAAGTAAGTCAGGTCTTCCGCCCATCCGAGTACCCCCTTCATCCCTTTCAGCCCCAGAATCCTCTCCTTGGACTTATAACCTACCTTGAATTCCTTCGTGGCTTATTTACTGATGACTGTAGTCTTGTCATGTTTGTCATGGGCTTCGTAATTTTGGTAGGTTTTGAGCATAGGCTTGTAGATACGGTCGAATTTAGAAAGTTTGTTCTTGAGGGTGGCTTTGGACTTGGCCTTGGCTGGGGATTTGGAGGGGTTGGTGGGGAGGGCCAGAGGTTTATTTCTAGGAGGGTTAGGAAGGGGCTTGCTTGGCCGAGGAGGGAGAGAGGGTTGGGGATTTGGGGGGTTGTGGAGGGTGGACGGGCTGGGGGGTGTAGTTTGGATGCCGTGGCGTTGAGCTTATTTGTAGTGATCTCGTTTTTCGAAAATTGACCTGTTTTGGGGGTTAGAGGGAGTTACGTGTATCCTTTGTTCTTTTTCCATTGGGTCCGGATTAGACGTGATATGGCCATTTTGCAATCTGTAGGGATGAAGGAGGGATTACAATGGGAAGGGCTAGGTGGTCCTTTTTCTGATGCTACAAATTATTAAATTAGAAACCAATCTTTACCTCCTTTTGTGATATATTTCCTTTCATAATAATTCAAATCTTGTAATGTCATTGACCCAAAAGTATTACGTCTAAATAAAGCTAACCATGCATAAAAATACCTATGATCAATTGGGTTAGCAATATTCCTGGTTTTAGTTCTCTTTCTTCTCTTCTTAAGCTTAACTACTCTCTTTTTCCTTTTCTGAGGTTCAGTTGAAGCATCTTCTATTTAGCATCAGAGACCAAAGTCTGTTAGAGTAATTTTAAACTTCTTTTAAGCTGTCAAACTTATGTTGTATACATTTATAAATATTTCTGAAATTGTGTCTGAAATCTGCTTACTTTGAAATGGCTCCAAGCAGCCTTTCTTTTGACATAAGATGTTTCGGCTACCTTCAGCGGAGAAGGACCTCTTCAGTTGTCGATCTAAGTACTCGCTTGCATTTGGGACTTCTTTGGCGATGCTGGAGTGTGAAAAATATCTTACTGTTGGACTGAGTTGTTGAGATTATTTTAGAGGAAATTTCTGCCTTGACCTCTCTTTGCTCCTGGTTAGTCTTTTAGAGATGCTCTGATGGGAACTAGAGTCTACATAAGCGACTTTTGGATCCCAGTTTTGACTGCCGATAAGGACTGAATGGCTCAGATTCTTGTCTTTTATCTTATATTCTACTCTATGGACCTTTTCAAGTAGTTTATTTTGGTAGAATTTAAAATTCTTCCTTTTCTCCTTGACTGATTTAAAGAATTGCTCTTTAGGGTCAGTAGGTTGATAGGCAAGAACCCTAGTCCTTCTTTTTAAGTTTCCAGGGGTATATCTACCTTTTGTGAGTTGGAATGTATCCAGTTTGTCTAATTGTAACTTCTTTTGTCCTGGTGAATTAGAGTCAGCCTTCTTTATCCGATCAGATGCTCTTTTTCTCTTTTCAATGTTTGGATTGAGATAACCGACTTTATTCGGGTTAAAGTGGACGTAATCAGATCTCAGGGAGTCTATATCTTCGCATGGTAGGTACAAGTTTTGGCGCTCAGCTCAGAGGAAAGAAATTACCTTTATTATCAGCTGAGATTTCAGAGGCTCTCTTTGAACAAGTTGACCTATTCAAATTCAATAATTTTTCTAAATTTTAAAAGCAAAGAGTCACTTTGGATAGAGTCTTTGTAGTGTATCTTAATCTTTTCCTAGTGATGTTGAGACAGGAATTACTTGTCGTGACTCCAAAACAGCATTGCTCGAGATCTTCACCTTAAATTCTTCTGGCTATAAAGTCTCACAACCTCAGCCAAATGGGAGAGTTTACCGGTTTGTTACTTCCAAGCCTATTGGTTGCCTAGAAGTTATGGGTTTGAACTTACATTTTCGTAAACACTTTTAGCAGTTTCGCTTCCTCTGTTAATGACTCTTTTAGGCTGCTTATGGCTATCTTGCTCCTGTCTATATTCGCCAAGTGGTTTAGGGTTCAATGATTGGCTCAATAGAAGGTATATACATCTGCTTTAGAGGGGTTAGAACGTACCTAGTCTCCATTGGTTTAAATTTTTCAATATGATTGTAATTGTTTGGGGTTTTGGGGTTTTGGGGTTTTGGGGTTTTGGGGTTTTGGGGTTTTGGGG